ATTGCCTCCTGTATCTACTTCAAGATTCAGTTTACCATAGTTCCTTATTGAATCATAGCTTGTTTCTGCCTGTTTCCCTGGAATGTTGTCCTGTGTTTTCAGATTCTGTTATTTAATATTACAGCGCTACACCAGAAGCATTGTGGTTTGGTGATTAATCAGAATTATTTATTATACCCCCCCCCCCAAAAAAAAATGACCATGTCACCAAGGGAAATTTCACCCCCAGGAAATATAAAATCTTTTAAGAGCAAATAAAAAGGGTCGCACAGGTTCAAAGATGCACACTGAGGCAAGTTGGCTCAAATATTAATGCAGTTTTATTTATAATTATAGAAATAAAATAAAGAGTAAAACAGTAAGAAAACTGAATGTGGTGTTGTCGTTGACAGTGTCCTAAATTACAATAAAACAATCATTGAACTAGGACTTACCAGCAGCCATGGACCCAAAAGAAAATCACATGGAGAAATCACTACAGCCTGCACACAGTGCTGTACAAAAAAAAAAAAGAAGAAGGAAAGTGTGAAAGCGACAAACTGGAACCGGCAACTAAAGCGATTCAAGGTTCCCAGCACCAGCACGACGCTCGGGCAGAGAATCGCTCTAGCCCGACCACAGAAGCGTGAGTGCAAGTAACAGGGCAGAATGAGCCAGGCAAAGAAAGAAAAGGTAGACCTAATTAAAAACATTTTGGGGAAATTTTAAAAAAAAATGACACAGCGGGATAAAACAGAATAAAGCAAGACAAGACAGCAGCTCCAACCAGGAGGAGCCCTAAAACAGTGGCTGGGCAGGCGTTTCAATCCTCCAATTGAGGCCCAACATATAGCCACGGAGAGATTATAGCAGCAATCAAATCCTAGGAAAAAGATCAATGTAGCCTTAGCCTCATTTAATTGGGAGTAACAGTAACACTGGGGGTGTCCAAATTCATGGGCTGCATCCTCCTGAGACCGCATTTGTAGGCGATGAAGGCTGTCCAAATTCGTAGACTCCTTCGAATGCAGCCGACAAATGCGTCCTTCTTTCCCCCGAATTTGAAGGATGGGTCGGGTGTGTCCTTCGTGGCCCACCAATTCCAGTTTACAACAATGGCGGCCACTACTAAGTTTTTAATATTACTCTTATTACTCTTTCTGGGTCACAAAATAAACTTTTAACATATTTATTCTGCCCCTCGGTTGTTGCTTTGTTGGGTTTCTTTGACTGGCGCATTTCTCAGGTTTCCCAATAGTGGGCAGTATTACCCCTTCAGTTTGTGGCTTCTTCTTTTGTTATTTGGTGTGCACTACACTGCCCCCTTTGGTGATCAGTGTTGCCAACTTAGCGACTTTGTCGCTATATTTAGCGAGTTTTCAGACCCCTTAGCGACTAAAAAAAGACGTGAAAGCGCGTATTGCTTTTACTCTCAACAAGCAGCGGGTGCTGTAACGCAGTCAGTTCTTCTTTTACTCTTTTACTCTTATGCTGTTTTGTGGATCACA